CCCCAAAACCCCAAAACCCCAAAACCCCAAAACCCCAAAACCCCAAAACCCCTTGTATTTGAGGAAGAATAGATTAATATAATATTTTTAAAATATGAGTTTTAATCAGTTCCAAAGGAACATCAAGACTCTAGTTGACTCTTTCGAACGAGCCAGGGAATGGGCAGATCTCAACAATTGTCTTCAGAAGTTAAAAAGGATTTTAGAAAAGAATGATGCAGAGTCCAAGCATGAGATTGAGGATATCCCTAGTCTTGCTAAAAGATTAGCACAGTGACTTTCTCCAGATTTTAATGTTATACATAAAACCACTCTGGAGATCTACAAGATGATCTTCCAGTCTGAACTGCAAAAGAGAAGGTTAGAGGCTGAAGAGGGCAAACAAGAGGAAGGGGACAACTACACTTTTGGAAGTGGTCTCGGCGTTCTCCTCTCCGGACTCTTTGGATTCTACCAATATGCAGCCTTTGAAGTCAAGGAAAAATTTTTGGATATTGTTGAAGAAGAGATCCTCATGCTTGTTAAAGAACTCCACGTTTGTCTGGGAGGCTTCATGGTATGAATACTCCCTGCTCTCGATGACCAGAGTGAGACCATTACTAAGAAAGTCGAAGAAATACTTAACAAAACTGAAGAGATTGTTGGAACAAAGATGTTTTATGGGACAATCTGGATGACTTTGATGAGAAGTTCACGAACAAGAATTGGAGGGTTTAAATATATTGAGAAGTACATCCCCAAAAGTCTAGACGCATGTAGGCGGAGAAAGATCTATCCTATCAAGATGGTAATCAAATGCTTTGAAAATCAGTTACATATCAAAAGTGCTACCGAGTCTGATATTTTGGTAGAAGAGAAAAACCGTTTGAAGAACATGGAAGCAGAGGATTATTACTACTTCTATTACCCACAGAAGTCTAAGTTGGTTATTAATGCCTTGATAGCTTGTATGATGGATCCATCAGTCTATGTTAACAGAATGGTTTTAGATTTCATCAATACTCATTTGGGAATCCATTCTGATATTTTGAAGATCGAGGAAAACAGTATTTTAGTTGAATCAGCCCTGAATTTGATAACTAAGAAGGATTTTGCATGTCTCAAGAAATTCAGTAACTGGCTTTTGAGTCATCTTGAAGATGAAGAGTTTGATGTAGACTATAATTTTGATGGGGACAAAGCAATAGAAGCTATTGTTCCAGCTCTGATTAGTATTTTTAGCGAGAGGCCAAGAAACGCAAGGAATGCAAGTCTTTCTATTACCATGATCCAGACATTGCTTTATGAAAATGCTCTCATCACTGATGCTGTGATGGATAAAGTTACAGTAGAAGTTATTGACTACATTCAAGATTATATGATAGGAAATGACGGAACAAGATTAGGCGAAGAATTCCTTACCAAATTTAATGAAACAACTGCAAATTTCTTCGAACATATTGGTACCCAACTCTCCAGTGTTTTAAAGGCTCTTGGACGAAACTTATCTGAGAAAATGGACTCTGGAAATGTAGAGGAAGCTCTGAAATCTATTCAGAGAATTGAGTTTTCTCTCACAATTCTGAACCTGGAAAGAGTTGAGGATGTAAACGACCTTCTCAGACCTATCTTATCTAGAATTCTTGCTAGTGTAAACAAACTTAGTAAAGGAATGAGAGAGCCCAAAAATACTATACCAGCTCTAAACCTTGCTCTTGTAATTTTGCAAAATATCAAAGATGAAAAGGCAAACATTGCAGTTGAAGAGGAAGAACTAGCTGAGAATATTGAGAGGTTCAACAAATTCTTTAGCGATCTGTGCTCTTGTATTATCAATGATTATGCAGATAGTGCTCTTTCTGAAGTTGATGAGTTGAACAGCTCTCCCCTTCCTCCATCTCCAGCACTTTTATCCACCTTAAAGCTAGCCTGTAGAATCTTGTACCAAGTGCAGATCTATGCTAGTGCTGATAATATGGAAGCTGACCCAGATTGGCTGCAGAAACTTCTCAAATGCTGCAAGAGTGACTTTATAAGCGTGAGTATTTTAGCATCAGAGATATTCCTTAGTTTTATCCTAAGAAAGAATATCGTTGAGAAGGGCCCATACTACCAGATCAAGAGTATCATCTATTGTGGCAAGAAAGATCAAGCTGAGCTTATGCAAACTGAATATTTGAAGTGTCTCCAAGGCAAGAAAGAAGTGCATCATCAAAATGAACACTGATATGAAATTATAGTGAGGTTGTGGAAATTTTTGGAAGAAGAACAGTATAATGAAGAGATCGTTTCCCTCTTGAAAAACTTTGACGTCAACCTTCCAGAAATTGTTTCAGATGTTGTCAGTAAGGATCTGAGTGATAAAAACAAGACTGATAGAATAGTAAAGGCTATTAATAAGTTCTCAACATATTGGAATCTTACTTCAGATAAGTATCCCCATTATGCTGCTTTCCCAGATGGAAATTCACTATTCCAGATGCTTGAGTATTTAGAAGCAGGGATTCCTTCAGTACGTCTTGCAAGCAAGAGTTGGCTCAACATCTCTACAAGTAACTTCAGAAGGATCCTCGACCCTCTTCTCTCCATCCTCTGTAACAGCCAGACTGATGTCGTCACCAATATGCAAGATGAAATGTTCTTCACTGAAGTTTATGACAGTAGACAGATTGTGCAGTGATTCAGTAAGTTCAGAAGCATAGTGCTCAACAGTCAGAACGAACTGATTGGCTACACGCTGTCGAATGAAGTGACTCCGGCCATTATGACTAAGTTCAGAGAAGTCTTCAAATATGTCGAGCTTGTAGACGAAACCTACTACCAGATCCTGATCCAGGTCTGTGTCAAGTTCATTGTGGGCCACATCAAGCAAGGCGAAATCTCGAAGTATGCCACAGACACCCATTCAGTGAATGCAACAGCCTGTGAGTTTCTGGAGCTGATCCTCAGGAGCTCTAAAGAGTCCGACGTGACTGCCATGGTTGCAGCCGAGATCCTGCCAAGAATCCTCAAGGCACTCAGTGTATCCATCGAGAAGCATGACAACGCAATGCAGGTGCAGCTTCTCAACTTGCTCAAAGTCATTTTGTTCGAGTGCACGTTCAAAGATGACACTGAGAACTGCCGCATGGTGCTGTCTAACGAAATGTTCTCAGACATTCTTGTGCACGGCATGAACAACCAGGTTTCTTATGTCAGACAGCATTTCATCGAGTTCGTTGTGCAGATCGTGCCAATGATCACCGAAATGCTTCAGGAGGCCGAAGCAGTTGCTCCTATCACAAAGCTGGTGCTGTGTCTGATCAACATCCTCAGAAAAGTTGATTTGTCCATTTACGGTGAAGACACAGATGCTACAGGTGGCAGGAAAGAAGAAGTCAAAGGTGGCCACAGCATCAGAGCCACTGTGCTGATTTGGAAACAAGACCAGATGAATACAAACAGACATGTCAACGAGAACTTGCTCATCAACTCTGAAGTCGACATCCAGTTGATCATCGAAGGCATCAAGAGCATTATTTATCACTGCCTGCACATCCACCCTGACTCCAGCGACTTGAAGTTCACCGAAGAGTACGAGTACGTCGAAGGTAGCGGGTTTTCATTCAAGACCATTTTCGGTGGAGGCGAAGGCCATGACAAGCTCATCGACAAAAGTTCCAAACTGACACCTCTCAAAGAAAGCGTGCTGCAGCTGCTGAAGCCGCTGTTCATCAGCTGCATTTCGTGTTGGAAAGACTTGTGCATTTTCTTGCCTAAAGACTACTTGTTCTCACGCATCGGAGTTATTTCATACAGAAACGAAGACCAGAGTGCCACCAACATGATGCTCCGCAACAAACTCAGAGACCTCGAAGGTACTGACGACGCAGCAGCGTCGACGAACCTGGAAGAGGAGGAAGAGAGCAAGGGCAAGAAGAAATCAAAGAAGAAGAGGAAGAAGAAAAAGAAGGACACACCATCGAAGGCAATGGGACTTGACGAAATTAATGGCTCACTTAAGTCCTACATTGATTCTGAAGCTAACCCAACTCATAAGATGCTAATTAACATCCTAAAGCCTATTGCTTTCTGATACCCTAACCAATTAATCCAGGAGATACTAGTTATCTGGATCAGAAAGGAAGATATCCAAAACTTAAATGTGAATCTCTGTCTTATAAAGCTAATCCAGATTCTTTCTTGCCTAGAGTTACCTCTTTATGCTGTCATTGGAGCTTTGAACTACAACATTGAGAAGATGGAGTTCGCTTCGAAGAAGGTAGCTCAAAAGAAGAAAGTTATATTAGAAAGAGAGGAACTACAGAAAGAAAGTCTGATATTTTTCTTTCTGTACACTTACATCCTTCATAACTTGCAATTTTATTTCAAAACAGAGGATGATACTAAGATATATAGATTATTCCTGAAATTCTTGAAGTATTACCAATACAGTCGCCATCCCACCACCATCTGCTGGATGCTAGAGACCTTGTACATTCTATCTCAGAAATACTCTCCGAAAGAAGCTTATCTGTCAGAAAAGAAAATTAAGAAGGATTATCAAGATTTAATGCAGATGTTGACTGAGAACGTAGCTAGGATTATTTCAGATGATCTCAACATTGGATTCTCTCCTAATTACTGTCTTACCTTTGTCTATCCTCCTTCCATGTATGAGCACTTGAAGGCCTGGACAGTCTTGGTTACTGAGGACAAAAAGGAAGAAGAGGGAATCACAATTAGTCAGTTCTTAGGAACACATATTAACACAGTAAAATCTAGTGCTGCCAGTTATGAGAAACTTAACAAGTTTAGCACAGAGATCATGCTAATGAATGAGCTGCTTGAAGAAGACAAGAGGCTTCTAGAAAGTGACACTAGTGATAATATTGTGAGCTTTGTGAAAGACTTATTGAAATCCCAAAATATTGATAATTCAGATTTACGGCTACCACCAAACTTCTTAAAAACATTTTTCAGCTATTATACAGTTCAGACAATGAAAAACTTATTCTTTTCTTTATTGCATAACGTGTTATTGTCTTCTTCACAAGAGAAGATTGTTTACAACTTGGACACTATAGTAGGAGTTATCATCCATATCCTCCAAAGAAAGAGGGACCATCCACCTGTCCTTACGGATATCGTTACAGAGCTGTTTGCAGGACTTATGAAGAACGCAGATGCCATACTTGTGAAGACCTATAGGAAACAAATCAGTGAGATCTTCTTCTCTGACTCGTTCTTTGATTCCTCTAGTAGAGCTCTGAACAAATGGAAGACCATCATTGAGTACTACATGAATCATGAAAAGAATGATCTTATTGATGACATTATTAGCAAATGGAATACCTCTGCAGGAATGTTTACATCCAAACATTATGAGACTAAACAAAAGTGTACAGCTATTAAAAGAGTTGCCTTCTTGCTCTATTCATCCGCAACTGACCATTACTTGGACAAAATTGATTTGCTGCTGAAGAAAATGACTGAAAATTTCAAGATGAATCACTTGGATTCCAAGGTTAGGATCCAACTTCTGCTTCTGTGTAGGATTATTCTACTCAGACTTTCTGACGAAAACTTGATCGAATCTTTAAGAAAACTCTGGCCAAATTTGCTAAACGAATTGATCAGTATAATGGAGAATAACAATAAAAAGAACGAAGAAGATGATGATTACGCTCTAACTCTTGAAGCTCTTAAGCTCATTGAAATTCTGAGTTTATTGAACCTTGAAGATTTCCAGCTCAACCAATGGATCTTCTTGCTTGATAGTTATAATGTAAACAAAGCCTCATTTACAAATAATGAGATGAAGATTGCTCGTGCCACTGAGACAGATAAGTACTTCACTCCGTACATTGTACCTCTGATGGACGCCCACAGTGATTTCGACTTTAATGAAGTTAATGAAGATGAATATGCTCGAGAGAATATTGATTCACATTTTGAGGAAGAGAAAGATAGGTATACTAGTATATCAAGGAACTCTAAGAAATACGCAATTGTTGAGATGTCCCATGTCGCTTCTGAATGAACTAACCCTGATAGTCATTCAATCAAGCTCAAAGCTGAGACAATGCAGGTTAAGGCAAGTGCAAGGTGTACTGAGATGAGTAAGCTTGACTGGAAAAATGCTGAACAAGTCATTGAGAATGACTTCATTGACTCTAACCAAGTTCAAGAATAATTGATTTTGCAATTTAACTCTCTAACATGGGGTTTTGGGGTTTTGGGGTTTTGGGGTTTTGGGG